TTTGACCTCGGCGACCTATCATGCCTCAAAGCTGGCGGGTCCGGCGATCTCCGCCCACCGATCATCTGATCACTCGCCGTAGTTCAATACGTGGCGAGTGATTAGATAGCTGAGAGAGCGTAGTGTTGAAGAGGGCACAGCGATGAGAGTCGCATCAATGCTCAAATCAACGGGCAAGGAAGGGGCCCATTTCTCGGGTTCTGGGCCGTTTCTCATGGTTCTTCCTTCTTTCGTGTACCACTCACCATCCCTAGGTTAATTTGAAATGGGTTGCTTTTTCATCGTGAATTCGTCCTTTAATCTTCCAACGACTATATATCTTTTCATGGGTGATCATGTACAAAGGGGGAGAAGCGTAGGAATTCACGTGCGTTTCTCTTTCTAATAAATGTGAAATTGTTTGGCGAATTTCAAACTTAACACTTAGTTGCAGCGCGCGCAACCAACTGGGCCCACTCTGGGATGCGCCGTGTGCTTCACATCCCTTCAGATTCGAGGACTCACTTGAAAGATAAAATATCCTTGGAAAACGTGCGAATTTCGGATTCTTTACTTGTGTGGTGATGAAACGTTGAAGTAGCTAAGAATTGCTGCTGTCAAGATTAAGAATGCCACGGAAGGCCAGGGGATTTTCAATAATAATGTTATTCCATTCACATGAAATCTTCATGATTCAGGGGTGTCCGCTTCACGACACAATGTAAAGTGTCCGAAATTCGCACGTTTTCCAAGGATATTTTATCTTTCAAGTGAGTCCTCGAATCTGAAGGGATGTGAAGCACACGGCGCATCCCAGAGTGGGCCCAGTTGGTTGCGCGCGCTTCAACTACGGCTCTCTGGAGAAAGAATCTCAATTCAGGAAAAATCAAGAGGATTCTGAAAGGGTTCATGTGAAATTACAGGGAGGAGTACACTATTCAACAAGAAACGCAGCCTTCAGCGTCAAATTCACAAGCATGTGTTAAAGTTGAGATACGCTAAACAATTTTACACTTTTGGAAAGAGAAAAGCACGAGGATTCCGAATCTGCTCCCACTTTAGTACATAATCGCCCCTGAAAGGAGCTATAGTCGTTGAAATAGTGCCAATGCAGCGAAAAAGTACCTTTCGGCGGTACTCGGGCAAAAATCCTCAACGTGGCCATTTTTTAAATAGTGGAACGTATTTAGCAGTTTAGTAACCGTTGATAGAGCAAATCTTCTAGTTTATGATGACGTATTAACTTTTCAGATTGGATGAGTTTGAACGGAGTTATGGCTTTGGAAAGCGTAAAAACTCGCACTCATCACGAATTTTCCTCGTTAATTTTGCAAAAATCCTCAACGTGGCCATTTTTTGAATACTGGACGTATAAAGCTGCTTTAGCAACCGTTTGATAGAGAAAATCTTCTAGTTTTGTATGACATATCAACTTTTCGATTTGACGAAAATGAAGCAAGTTATGCTTCGGAAAGTGTAAAAACTCGTGCTCATCATGAATTTTCCTCGTTAATTGATCTAAATTTGTTATTTCTTATAAATTTTTGTAATTTCAATACTGATTAGAAAGAGCTCTTCACAAAACTCCCAAATCTGCTTTCAGATTGAAAATTCGTCATATTTGAAGAAAGTTATAATCATTTGAATATTTGTTCAAATTTCAATAGTAAATAAGCTGCTCCACGGTCAACGCCAAAGATCAGTCAACACACAGCTGGCTAAGGCGGTTACAAGGCTTCTTTCAAGCGAAAGGGGGACGTGTAAATTGAGAACCATATCTGTGTAGTACTAGAATTTGGTAAGTCTTGTGGAGGAAATAAATAAAGAAGAGATGTTGTCATAGTATGCCATTTTTAGTGACTAGTTTGTCGTTTTTTGCTCCGTTTCTCGTAGGACTCATCAATAATGATCATTCTTTGACTTTTTCACTTTTGTACTTCTTAAACGAATTTTTTGGTGGACGGTGGGGTAGCAGGGCTTTTTTATGAACAGTTTTGGGGGAGAATTAAACAACCTTTTCATAGTTCGGCTTTTGAAGAGGGTCGTTTCATGGACTTCGGCCTCTGGGGGAGGGAGGGGGGGTCGTATTTCCAAATTTTCCTCGACGGTTCGCTTGACCCTGGTCGCACAAATGAGAGCATTTGACCGAGATCCCTTAGAACGAAGGTTTTGAGGTCTGCGTATGTTTTTGTGTCTCGTCTCATCGTTCTGTGAACAAATGAAGCGCGAAGATGAGAGCATGTGTTGTATGTTAAAGTTTCATTTGCCTTTTAGCTGGTAGGACCTTTAGCCAATACAATTTCACACCAAACCCTCGCAACCACATTTTGCTCTAGGTATTTCAATGCCACTCGTAGGTATGGATGCATAGAACAATGGACCATGGAGATGTTTATGCGGTCCCAAAAAGGCCACTACTACTTACTGCTGAATGGGTGTAATGATTGGGCATAAATGTTTTTACTGACGTCGAGCAAAAACGCAAATTCGAACAATTGCGAAGTAGATCTTTATTAGGCAACATCCTATACGATCAGTCCACAATATAGAACTTGGATGAAATCGGAAAAAACAACTGGTAACTGACCATGAGATTCCTTTCAGGCAGCCATTACAGAAAATCATTAAAAAAAGACAGATTTATATGTACAAAATAAACAAGTTTCTAAGCTGCCAAGCACTTTTTTAAAAATCCTTCAGGAAAACATATCAGAAAATACAAGTAAGGCGAAAGCGTGCAATGATCCATGATCCATAAAAACATAGCAACACTAGCAAATCCGGTGAACTGCCCTCGCGTACTGATGTTGAGGACCACGTCCTCAGCGTCAGAGCGCGACGAAAATTATTTAGGATTATATATGACTAGTTATCATACTCTTTCTTAGCTTGATGCGAGAATTCTGGGACATTTGAATAATTGTTACAGAAATACCACGCAATATGATGGAAATACACAACTGTCAAGTCAGATCTTCATCTCCACTGCTAGCAGAGTGAAGAAAGGTTCGAGCAGTTAGTGAAAGAAAGGCTTTGTGGAGGGCATAGCTAGTCTTGGTAATTACACATTTTTTCGAACGATGCGGATTTTTGAAGGACGTCAAACCAACTCACTGGCTTGATCTGAACAGGAACCAAGTGCTCACGGATGCGATGGCCGTGGCATTTCGGTCCTGCCCCGAGTCCATGCATTGATGGCAGAAATTTGCAGAAATTATAACATGCCCCTGAGAAGGTTTTCCTCTTCTATTTGACATGAGAAGAAAAAAGTTTTCGTCACTGTCCCAGGACTTCTATTCGGTCGCAGCATACACAGCTAGGTGAGCAGATTGGAACAGGTGGAGCAAGAAAAGCAGAGTAATAGAATCGTCTTCGGTATCGACACTCTTAACGTCGGTTTTGAAAATTGTCACATTGTGTTGCCCACAAAGAGCTCTACGCCCAACTGCCTCCACCACCTTCGTCCTTAACGGGCTTTGATGGATATAATCCACCACCGCCTTGCCCGCCATTGTCATCGTAGATCGGACCAGGCGCTACTGGATAGGCACCTCCACCTGCAAACAGCTTCAGTATATGTATTAATAAAAAATGGTCCTATACATCACCACATAAATCAGCAACCGATAAGAATCAGAGATTGTTTGACACTCGTTACAATTTGGACCTTGCAAACGCCAACTAAATCTAGTGGACAAGCCGGCCGAAAAAATACTCTGCGAAGTGCGTCCTATTTCCTTACAAGTAGTTTTCTCAAGGAGATTAACAAATGGAGCTGCCAAGTACATCACAAAAATCAACCTTCACGAAAATTGGCCAAAGTGCCCGTCCACTGCTGACGCAACTTTTTACACAGAGAATGATAAATTAGGGTGGTCGACAAGTATTTCACATCTAATATGGCCCAGGCCTTTGAAGTTAATAGGTGCTATCTCATTGTTCTTCAACATATCTTCCATACATGTACATGCAAAAGTCAAAGCCACTCAAAGCAGCTCTCGCGATGAGATGATATAGTTGAAAATAGAGGGCTAAATGGTCCAAAGGTGGAAAAACAGAGAACTATTCAAAACCCGGGAAAACGGGAACCTCCTTGCGCCGGTTCCGTTCCGCGAGTGGTCCATTTTGTCGTTATATACATGGGGAGGGTGCAAAAAAAGACATTTTGCCCATGTTTCGGCCCTTTTTTCTTCGCAGAGATTGCCGTCGTTGACGGAAGTTCCTCAGCAAAAATATTAAATGTCCCTCTATAAGTAGACGCAGGCCCTCCTTCACTGCCCTCACCGTCTTCAGAATATGACGTCATCTGTCACCGTCGTCAAGCTCAAGGAGGCCTACCCTGCTTCAGCCTGAAGCTCTTACATAATTTCGTGAATCGATTCAATGTTGGATAGTTTCTAGAGGCATTAGCTCCACTATGCAAATCCCCTCGAACTAGCTTTCCAGTAAAGGTCGTTATGGTACACGATCCTTCGAAGACCCCATTGAGCTCGACCAGTGCACCATGTTTCCAGGGCAAATTCTTCTGATGCCGTCCACGTAGGTGGCCACTATGAAGATTTTCTTATAGAATGAAATGTGCTCTTCAATATAAGTTGGGACCATTCGGTCTGAATTGAGCAAAGTGTGATTAAATCCATCTGAAGTGGAGACAAAATGTCTTTTTTTATTGCCCCCCCCCCCCTCTCTCTGTCAGGTCACAGGTTAAGGTTCATTCATAAACGCACTATAATGATAGCAGCGGCATTTCTATGAGGGTTCTCTCTCATCGCTGCGCTAAAATCCTCACATCCGAACCACTGCATTCTCCGCACGCGGAAAAATAACCCCAACCGTAGAACCTTGCGGAGCTTCGCTGCAACCTCCTTATACTTTATTGAATTCTATCGCAAAGGCCCGCAAAGACTTGTCTCGACCAGAGCCGCGCAACTTGTCACGCAATTTGTCACGTGCCAACCCGGACGATCCAAGTGACCGTCACCGTTCTCCCGACCCATCGTCGACTAGGACACTCTGTTACCTTTTTCAGCACATGTCCTTCTCTTCATGACCATACATTTATCGCAATTTTTGTCTACGAGCGCTGGCTTGTAGTAGAGCTTTTGTTACTTGTTAGCGAAGCCGGAATGGGTCGGAATTGTGCTCGAGATACGTCATCTTCTTCCTTGCTCTATGAGCCGTAACCGAGTTCTACTGAATGATCATCTGACGGTTGTCCTAATCATTAGATAGCGTTTTGCTTGAAATTTTGCAGGAATAACAATACTTTTCACGTTACCATGGACAAGATACCGGGCGAAAAATCCAAGTGCACAGCTCCACAGATATAGTACGGTGCTCTAAAAGTTCGAGCACTTTTTCGGATCTCGCGCCAGAAGCTTACTCGGCGATTTCTGATTAGATATGCTCACGTAGGCTACGAAGAACATATTGCGTGAAGTAACCAGCAAGCGAGTCATGCTCGCCTTAGTCGCTTTCTTCGAGTCCAAAATGACGGACGAGAAGAACCGTGCCTGTCTCGCTCAATTTTATAACTTCTTCAAAGGCAGTGATTACGATAGGTATAAGAAGGGTTACAGGAGACTGGTGGTGCTCAATGGTACGCCAGTGGCGAAAAAAGCGGAGAAATCCGTCAAGAAAACGCAAAACGGGACCCCTTTTTTGGCCGTTGGTTTTCACTCATGAACAGGTAACAGCTCAGAAAGCGGACGTATGAACGAGTTCATCGCAACGCGTTTGGTGCAGCATGCCAAACCATGCTCCAATCGAGTTGCTCCAGTTGTGCCGCTGCTGGCAACGCAGCTCGTCCAAATCACCAACTAAACTAGTGGGCGGATCGCTTTTGGGGGCGGAGTGCTTTCGAAGTCCTGCTCAGCAACCAGCGCACCTTTCGTCGTGAAAGCGCCACATCTCGCTTCCCTGGCAGCCAAGTAACTGATTCGTGTGGTGCATATGCTTCCCGATGCGCTCCTTCTTTATCGAACTTTTGGGACACCTTAATACTACCAGCATTCATGAAACTTATATCAAACTTTGGGTACTAATCGCGACTTATCGTGATCACTGAGTGGGAAAGCCGTGAACCTTTACATGAGCACAAATCTGAAGAAAACCCGTTTGAACATCATTTTTTTTGACTATAAATAAAAGCAGCACAGAGCACAACGAAAAAACTATTATAAGAAGAACCTTGATATTCACCTCCACCATAACCGCCTCCGCCGAAACCACCCATTCCCATGCCGCCACCGCCCATTGGTGGTGCAGAGCCGCCACCACCTGGAATATTTTCTGAATAATCAGTAAAATAAAATTAATTAGTAAATTAAGAATCAATAAAAAGTTCTGTGCCAAATCCGAAAATGAGCAAGGCGACTTACGTCGTCCAGAAATCAAGTTCCCAAGCAGCGACCCAATTCCTGCTCCTCCCATTCCGCCTGCAAAGTTTCTGAACATCGAACTGCCTCCACCAGCACGGCCACCGCCACCCATACCTCCACCTGGGCCGCCCATGCCGCCTGAATGTTTCACTTTTGATAAATCTTAACATGAAGCAAGTTGGATTGACTTACCATCAGTAGTAGGAACACTAGCTCGTCCGCCACCGCCGCCTTTTCCGCGACAACAACAGCAGTATATGCAGCAGCAACAGCACAACAGCGGTATGATGATCCCCACGAGTGCAAACCAAAACCATCCCGGAATGGATGGTGCCTTGAAACCACCGCCTTAAATGTGATAGATGAAGATAAAAGAGCAGAATGAAAAGTTCACAAAGAAAGATTTTAACTCACCTCCCATTCCTTTACCGCCTGAATCAATCCCAAAACCAGGTTCAGGTGCAGGCTGTCCACCTCCTCCCATACCACGACCACCAGCAGGTCTAGGTGATCCTTGCTTCGAAAGCGCCTTTTCCCTGTAGTGTTGAAAAATAATAAGACTAAAAAATTTAAGAGAAAGAGTCAAAGCATGTTATACCTAACAGTTTTTGAATTGACAGCTCACTGTAAATATTGACTAAATGTCCCGCCGCCTGTTATACGCATCCAGTGCTTATAATACATGCTAGCAAAAAGCATGACACCGGAAGCTGAGGTGGTAGGATAGTACAGCCTGGTTTAGCACCCTCTATGAGATTGAAAGTTTTGCCCACGATTTGTTAGCGTTTCAAGAACAGAACCGAAAATAATGGAAACCCCCACCCCCTCCCTCCCAAGGACAAGAGGTTGAAGAATCAGATGAAAGAAATAACAAAAGCCATTAAAAGCGTATTGCATGTAGGCAATACCACTTGAAATAGCAAAATAGCGTGTAACTATTGTGTAAGCGTACATAAAAATAGGTAAAGAAATGAAATAAAAATCGACATTCATTTCCCATCCGGGTATTAGCATTGACGCCAATTTATTCATTCCTCGCACCCAATAAGTGAATAGAAAGCTTCATAAAATTAAGCTATATAGGTTTGAAAAATGGTGTAAAACTCACCAAGTTTTCTGCATAATGTTTGTGAGCGCTTGCTGATAGTTGTTCTGTTGGAAAAGCGACTTCTAAAAAAAATGATGAGTGATAAGGGGTTAGAAAAAGAGCCACAACGCTACTTTTCTGTGATTGAGACGGAGATAACATAGTGGATAATTGCCAAACCTGCTGGTTAAAAATCTCTGTGAATTCATCTGCATAGACGGGCACCTTGTCGTCACGTGCTACCCAAAACTTCATGTCGTCCGTAGAGACCTATAATGCCTAATTTGAATGAGGGTTGTAGTGAAACTTGGGTCATTCAGTTCAAAAAAAAGAGGGTGAAGAGGGCCGTCAGTAAGGAAAAAAATGGAAGGGACCATAGGAAGCACTTGTATTGAGGACTGCATTTCCTCGAGAGGTCGCGTGATACGGTGGAGAGACACAACGCGGCGAGGAAAGGGAATACGCGGGAGACGAATGGCACTGCGCAGACACGTGTGCGGTCAAAATGGGTAAAAATGGCAGTGGTGCAGCGTTCAGGAGAAGATCTTAGCACCTAGTCGCGCACCGAATGGCATCGGTGCCATGACTTCTGTGCTTCCGCGCTTGCAGTCGTGAAGTCTGACACCTATTTTAGGAAGTCTGCTACCACACTCACGAGGAGAACTTCATTGAAGATCTCATCGCGAGCGTGCCTTTAATGATGATCAAAATTCAAAGACAATGTACTGAGCCTAAAAGTCGTAGCTGACAACAGAGAAACATCGAACCAACCACAAAAACAACAGCCTTCTGACACTGAGGATCTAGTGTCCACTTCGCCAACATATCGTTTGCCATCTTCTTTACTGCCTGGAAAATGGAAATTAAGAATATCAATCGCTCAGTGTCCAAAAAGAGCTCAATACTGTGATTATATGGCTTCGAATTCCCGACAGCCCTCCTTCCTCTAGACGTCAGAAGCGGGAGTAGGTGCCAGGCTGCTATGCTTAGTTTGTCTAATCGCTCCCACACGCTCAAGTGAACGTTGCTCACCTTTATTCTACACCCTCGCTTTCAACACCATCCAAAGTCCATTGACCTACTGCAACCCACTATCAGTTATAAAAAGGGTCAACACTACCCTTGGTATCATTGATATTTTCTATATTTTCGGAATTTGTGATCAACTAAAACGGGCTGCCCTTAATCTTGTACTTTTAATCGTGAAACATCAAAACATCCGAATGATATGAAAACCAACTCCAACTGCCAAGCAATGCTGTGTTCTCCTTTCTTCGTTAGATTGCCAGACTAAGTCATGCTAAGCGCTTTGGAAGAACTGGAGGATCAGAGAGATTACGATTATATTTTCGAGTTATATTTGTTTGATAGTAAACGAATCAGCATCTTTCTTCCGGGAAAATTATATCATTCTGACGTTTTTCAACCCTTTCTTCACCCTGAACCCATAAGTGAAAAAACGGGAACTAGATCATGCCTCAAAAATTGACACATTTTTCATATTTTGCGACCAATCGGAAGAGAATCGCAGCTTCGCGGTCGCCGAAGTCTGACAAGTGCCGCAGCCAGGGTGAATAACGGTCGAGGAAATCCTCGACCATAGCTCTCTACCATGCGAGAGTAGTGCCGAGAGTGAACATCCGCGCGGAGAGCACAGACGGCACGGCATGGCGAGTGTGAATGTCCGCGCGAGAGATCGTCTCTGATCGGGCAGAGAATCCTCGACGTGCCGTTGGAATCCTCAAGCGATATTCACCCTGGCCCAGACTCCCGCGCTCGATTACCTACATTCACACCGAACACCCTCAAACTTCACAAGGTGTAAATGAACCGATTGTACCGCATAATACCTATTCTCACTCGCTTAGCTCCTTGTGAAATTTGTCCGGCTGTCCTTGATCTAAGATCTAATCGAGCGCACCTCATTTATGAGAAACAACGTGTACCAATGAAGAAAAAATTATTCAATATGAACGAACCTCCCGTTGACCCCCCTTTGACATGCCGAGCCACTGCCATTGCTGCTGTCACACCCTTCTTGTCACAGAAAGTTTTAGCGTGGTCCTGCAAATACTTGCGGATGCAAATCTACACCATGTCAAATTGAAAACAGGAGGATATTGAAAAATTAGACGGTGTTCATAATTCGAATCGTTCTAGAAACCCAAGATGAGAAAAGAGATGCCAATTTACCAGGCGCCGAAATTAATCTCGTATTTTAAGACAATATTTTCGAAGCCCCAAAACGTCTAACGTGATTGCTAGGCACTGTAGCAGCTCTTTCCACAGACAACAAGAATGTAACTTCCGGAGGTAACCAAACCTTTACCGTAACCCCTTGGCGTCAAATAGACTTATTGTGCAGATGAAATTCACACCACACTGCAACTCACGCCAATGATTTCGAATTTCGGCGAACAATCATCACGCCAAACCTTTCACAGCAATCGTGAAACTGCTGAAAAAGGGAAAGAGGACAGGAGGTCATAACGCGCTGCATCGTTAGTGTTTTCGATAGCATTGCTACAGCAGATTCATTACATTTGTCTTGTTGAATTCGTAAACTCGTCTTCAGATGGGCGCTGATGTCGTCGGGTGAGGAATCGTTGTGCGGACCGAACCGATGAGGGGAGGATTTTAGGAGAAATTAAAATTGGCTTACACTCTCCATTCCCTTAGTTCCCCTATGGCTCAGTCCCCGAGGGATGTTGGCTGTATGGATTCTTTCATTCTGGGACAATGTGAAGCAATCAATCACGAGTGAACCATCTCTATGGTGTCAACATTGAGGATCGCTGAGTGTAAGCGTGTGTAAGCGCAGCGATGCACCACACGCGAACGCACATTCCGATGAGATGACCTGCTTCGACATGAAGCTGCGGCCTGGATGAAGAACCGCTCTGTGGATATTACGAACTTTCTACAACTGGCGATGGCTCCTGGTATGAAAGGAAACTGAACCATTCAGTTCGGAAAAAGTCTACGCTTGGGGTCACTGAAAGCTTTTGCTCCATTCGTGAAAAGAAATGCTACGATGTAAAGGCAGAAATTATTGAGATGCGCCTGTTTTTGAGCAAAGCTCCCCTGTAGATGACTGCACGCTCAACTGAGCAAAATTGAATTCGTAGTGTACAGGATACTGCTAGGAAGCACAGTCAATCTTTCCTAACCTTTCCACATATTAGCATATTATACAGACTTTGAATCCTTCGATATGGCTGTTCCCAACATATCTATAATGCATTGCATCATCAATCACCTCTGAGAAGCCTCTTGATCGAGCAAATTGATATCACATAATGTAGCGTCACAGTCGATGGCGTAACATTTGTGCAAGTGTGCATTTTTTCTGCACAACACAATTTATTTATTTGACGCCAAGGTAACCTAGCTGTATAGGTTTGGTTAGCCTTCCGGACCAGTTACACTCTTGTTGAACAAAGCTATATGGTGGCGAGGCGCATAAGGCTACATACTAAGAAACTAAGAAAAACCCATTGATAAAAAATTACCCCGCCAGAAATCTGTCGGTCTATGATCATTGTCTTCAACACACCTGCCGAGTTCTGCTCTCTAGCTGCTTCAAATCGTGATCAAGTCGATATCGAGCTTGTTCGGAAAGCACTCCATCGCCGATCGTCAAATGTTCGTTTTTTTTTTTTTTTTTTTTTTTTTTTTTTTTTTTTTTTTTTTTTTTTTTTTTTTTTTTTTTTTTTTTTTTTTTTTTTTTTTTTTTTTTTTTTTTTTTTTTTTTTTTTTTTTTTTTTTTTTTTTTTTTTTTTTTTTTTTTTCTTCTCTGAACTCGCCAGCTGTCGGATTCGGGAAGTTGTAGGCGTCCCATTCCTCGGCTCGGCAGCCGACGACCAGCAGTAGCAAAATTAGCCACCGCATTGGCCTGAAAATGCTATTACTGTAATTGAAGTGCAGAATTTTTCTCGCTCGCAAAGCATAGCATCGCTACGCACAAGGATTCGGTATATGAACAAGGTCAAAATCGAAGCATTCCTGTAATTTATCATTTTATAGAACATCAGAATAGTCCACAGCAACCGCCGGGTGCGGTTCACTAGGACAGAAAGCGAATTTTTCGCGCTCCGCAGCGCGAAAGATTTTTTGCTGAGGGAACCTCTCTTCCTTGTGTAAGCTTTGTGTCCCTCACCCTCCCCCCCCTCCTACATTATTCTCCGGCTGCCACTGCAGACCTCGTGAAATGACCGGAAGTGTGCTGCGTACCCTCCCTTCAAAAAGCGAGAAAGTGTCGGGTGCAGACCATGCACCACAAGTGACGACGGCCTTCACAAAATGTTAATGTTTTCTGCCAATGAAATGATTAGCCTGTTGCAGTTGTATTCTATCGATTGTCACTAATTACAACTATCATTTACCAGAAATCAGCTATCACTATGAACAACTTCTAACCAGATTTACTTGGAGGCCGTCGTCAGTTGTGGTGTTTGGTCTGCACCCGACACTTCCTCCTTTAGGGGAGGTTAGGATTTTATATAGCCGTTGGGGTGTTATCACAATCATGCCATTGCAAAACATTGATAGGGCAAGCCTGCGAGCTACTCAGATTTGTTAGCGGCCTGTTAATTTCATTAGCTGCCTTATCACTCACTTCATTTTGCGGACGAACAGACAGAGAAACTTACCTCCCCTTCAAAAAGCGAGAAAGCGTTGGGTGCAGACCAAACACCACAACTGAAAAAAGCTGACAACGGAAGACGGTCAAGAGTCCTCCTCGACCGCTGCCGCGCCAAAATTAGGTCATCGCGCGCGACGTCGCCGGCGTTTTTGCACGTTTGAAACATGGCAATTGTCCAAGTTTAGGACCCACCCTCCCTAGACGTTCGATACAACACTTTTTTGTTCCGTCTGTGTAGTCCCATTTCTGCATTTGTTTTTGCCTAGTCCTAGCAAATTGCCACGTTCCCACTCGTGTTAGAACCGGTAGCCGCCCGTGCGCTGACCTACTTTCGCTTGCGCGGCGACCTCAGGGGGACTCTTGTCTCGCATCCC